AACTTCATTAATTACCATTCAGTGTTGCCAAATTTGAACATTATACTTATCAACCCGTAGCAACAAACTTTTACCCGTAATTTCTGACTAAATACACCACTTGAAAGCTTGAATCTTTCTCTATCTAAAACCGGGTTTTCGTCTGCCGATAAGTTAATAATAAGATCAATAAAAAATGAAAAACACCGCTCTCTTGTTGGGGCCGATAACTTTCTTATATGACCAGAAGAAAACTCTAGAACTATATCTATCTTGTCGAAAATGTCCTGCTCTTTCTAGTGGTGTAGAATACGTGGCGATCACGTGTTTGTACAAGTACATTTTTGGTTAAAAACTACTAAATTCATACGTTTTAACCATTTTTAAACCTTATTCGGGTCGATAACTTTCTTATATGACCAGAAGAAAACTCTAGAACTAGAACTATATCTATCTCATCGAAAATTTCACTTGAAAAAAATATCAATGACGTCATAACTCGTTCAAAAATGGCGGAAAAAATTTAAAGACTACTAGTATATCTTCTAGTAACTCTACTAGTATGAGAGATAATCAGTCTCTTGATTTTCAGCGTATAATACGCTGCTGATGGGAAAAAAGTGGGGTTGCCATTTAAAAAAATTAACTTTTGGAGATACGGAAATTTGATGCACATTTCAGACCATCCTGTATAACTTCAAAAAAAATTTTCAAAGACTATGTAAGCTATTTTTATTAAAATTTTTGTAAATTTTTTATTGATCTTAATATTAACTTATCGGCATACGAAAACCCGGTTAGATAGAGAAAGATTCAAGCTTTCAAGTGGTGTATTTAGTTTTATCTCTAATAATAAGGAAGATATCAGCTAAGAAATTGTTGCAATCCTCGAAAAATAGTAGTACAAAGATATCTATGGCGTTTCAATGCGATGTTTAAAGAAAAATATTAGTGTTTTGATTTTTCCATTAACAAAGCTAATCAACTTAACCTTCAGAGACAGTAAATTTCCAAATTTATTGAAAAATGCGTTTGTAATTCCTATCTTTAAGGGAGGCGATGTGCAAGATGCTTATCTTACCTGTTTTTTCTAAAATTTTTGAACGTGCAGTCTTTAACCGTATATATGAAGAAGAATTCTTTTAGAAAAACTTAAAACAGTTTATAACTTTGACAATAATAGTTTAAATTTCATTATATCATACCTGGAGGGAAGGAATCTATGCGTAAACTGTGATTCTAAAGTCTCAAATCGCATTCCGGTACGTAAAGGGGTTCCGCAGGGGTCAATTCTTGGACCTCGGCTTTCTATTATTTATTAATGACCTACCCTATTATGTTGGGAATAATGTTGAATGCTTTCTTTATGCAGATGATGCTACCCTGTTGATTCGTAGTCCATGCATTGATGATTTACACCGTATATCGGATAATGTGATGCGTAGAGTTCATGATTGGACTAGCAAATGAACTTTCTCTTAATAACTCTAAAACGGTACATATGTCACTTGGCCTTAGAGATCTTTCCCCTCAGAATCCCAGCGGCACTAAGTTTTTTGGCGTAATTGTAACTGCTCCAAAATTATGTTTTGACGAGCTGTGGGGGCCAGGGTGAGCCGAAACATTTACGCACTGAAACGTGTAGTTAATGCGGTTCCTCCTGAAACTGCGAGAATACTATGCTTTGGTCCACTCGCTTTTAACATAGTGTATATTGGCATGGGGAAATACTCCAGCTAGTAGTCATATTTTTAAGCTCCTGCGTAGAGCTATCCGTGTTCTTGGTGGGGTCGGTTTTATGGAGAACTGCAAGCCTCTCAATAAACAGTCCTATGATATCTCTTCTAATTTTCATCATTACGACACGAGAGTTTTTATTATGCGGCGCTTTCTATTCTGTTGAGGAATTCCTAAACACAGAATGTTGTGTCTGAATTTTAATTGTAACTGCTTTCGTAACTATGTAACTTTTTGTCAATTTGTAATTATATAATATATGTATTTTTTTGTTAATACTAAGTAATCCATGACGAGTGTAAAGAACATATCTTAAAACACAATAAAATGAATTTGAAAATTGAAAATTCGCAAAAATTTTCGATCATTTCAAAGATTTTTCAAAACGGCTTATTGCATTAAAAAAAGGATACTTTAATTAATAATTGGTGATATTTCCACAAGGATCCTTCAAGAAATGAATTTTACAGCGAATTTTGAAAATTGCAAGATGGAAAATTTGATCAAAACTTCAAATATTGTTTTCTCAAAAACTAAAAGTTATTTTTCAAAACGGGTTGCTTCATTGGAAAGAGGACATTTTTATTAACACTTTGGGAAATTTTCATACTCATATTCCAAGAAGTGGATTTTATACGAATTTTTAAAACTTAATCGGTGAAAATTGCAAAATTCGAAAAAAACATTTCAAAAATTTTTTTCTCAAAAACTAAAGGCGATTTTTCACAACGAGTTGTTACATTAAAAGGAGGACATTTTAATTAATAATTGTTGATATTTCCACAAGGATCCTTCAAGAAATGAATTTTATAGCGAATTTTGAAAATTATCGATGAAAATTGCAACATCCATAGGATGTTGCCATCCAAGGATTCCATACACTGCGGCAGCGGAGACTGAGCTCTGATTTATTTTTTTTGTATAAATTGGTCAACAACTTTTTGGATGCTTCAGATTTGGTGGGTGAATTATGTTTTTATGTCCTTCCTTATCAAACGCGTGGAGGATTATTGTTTAGGATTGGTCGCTCATCTTCAAATATTCATCTTAACTCTCCTTTAGTCCGGATAATGAATACGCACGACTCTCACTGTCAAGTGGACATTTTTAATATATCTATTGCGTCCTTTAAACGATCTTTACGGGGCATGGTTGTGGCATGGTCCTAATATTGATATTACGAGTAATTTAATAGATTGTTATTAAATGTATATTTTTTGTGGATTGTTGTCAGTATTAGTATTAGTAACGAATGGTCCTTTAATAATGTTTTTTTGTTATTGCTAGTGGATGCCGCTATTGGGGGTTTCCCTGTTGGCATCCCAAACAAATAAATAAAATAAAGAAAATAAACATCGAAAATTTTATCAAAACTTCAAATATTATTTTCTCAAAAACTAAAAGTTATTTAAAAACGGGTTAGTTCATTGGAAAGAGGACACTTTTATTAACACTTTGGGAAATTTTCATATTCATATTCCAAGAAGTGGATTTTATATGAATTTTTAAAACTTAATCGACGAAATTTGCAAAATTCGATAAAATTGTCGATCATTTCAAAAATTTATTTCCCAAGAACTAAAAGCGATTTTTCAAAACGGCTTGTTGCATTAAATAGAGGACACATTAATTAATAATTGGTGATATTTCCACAAGGATCCTTCAAGAAATTAATTTTATAGCGAATTTTGAAAATTATCGATGAAAATTGCAACATCGAAAATTTTATCAAAACTTCAAATATTGTTTTCTCAAAAACTAAAAGTTATTTTTCAAAACGGGTTGGTTCATTGGAAAGAGGACACTTTTATTAACACTTTGGGAAATTTTCATACTCATATTCCAAGAAATGGATTTTATACGAATTTTTAAAACTTAATCGGCGAAAATTGCAAAATTCGAAAAAATTGTCGATTATTTCAAAAATTTATTTCTCAAGAACTAAAAGTGATTTTTCAAAACGGCTTTTTGCATTAAAAAGAGGATACTTTAATTAATAATTGGTGATATTTCCACAAGGATCCTTCAAGAAATTAATTTTATAGCGAATTTTGAAAATTATCGATGAAAATTGCAACATCGAAAATTTTATCAAAACTTCAAATATTGTTTTCTCAAAAACTAAAAGTTATTTTTCAAAACGGGTTGGTTCATTGGAAAGAGGACACTTTTATTAACACTTTGGGAAATTTTCATACTCATATTCCAAGAAATGGATTTTATACGAATTTTTAAAACTTAATCGGCGAAAATTGCAAAATTCGAAAAAATTGTCGATCATTTCAAAAATTTATTTCTCAAGAACTAAAAGTGATTTTTCAAAACGGCTTTTTGCATTAAAAAGAGGATACTTTAATTAATAATTGGTGATATTTCCACAAGGATCCTTCAAGAAATTAATTTTATAGCGAATTTTGAAAATTATCGATGAAAATTGCAACATCGAAAATTTTATCAAAACTTCAAATATTATTTTCTCAAAAACCAAAAGTTATTTTTCAAAACGGGTTGGTTCATTGGAAAGAGGACACTTTTATTAACACTTTGGAAAATTTTCATACTCATATTCCAGGAAATGGATTTTATACGAATTTTTAAAACTTAATCGGCGAAAATTGCAAAGTTTGAAAAAATTGTTGATCATTTCTCAAAAACTAAAAGCGATTTTTCAAAACGGCTTATTGCATTAGAAAGAGGATACTTTAATAATCATAGTAAACAAGAACACCATACTTTTAATTTTGATAACCCAAAAGTATTATCAACTAGTGGAAATACACTAAATAGAAAAAATGTAGAATCTATATTTATAACAAAAAACATAGATAGCAGAGTCAATTATAAAACAGACGCTGGTGGAATCGGGATACATTACGCAGGAATAATTAAATGTAAATAAAGTTGTGTTCAATGAAAAAAGTCCTATTGGTGTTGAACTTGATTATTATTAGCAGTGTCCAAGACCTAAAAGAGATACTAATCCTGCGAATGGTGGAGTTTTTTTGAATGTTTTAGCCGTCTAGTGACAGTGCTAACTAGAGCTATCTAACACTGTCATTAGAACTAACACTAGACCTAAAACTAGAACAAACCAACTGATAGCAACTTCTACAAAAGACAACATGCAAACTGATCTTGGTAGTATGGTTCTGGTCATCTCAATGTCAGCCTGAGGTGATTTATCGGAATCGCAATCTGGGAAATAATACATATACGTACAAAGTTGTAAATTTGGCAACACTGCTGTCAAAACTTAAGTAAACTTCATTAATTACCAACTCAAATATTTTTTAAATTTTATTTATAAATTGCAATATTTGTTTAAATAAATACATATTGAGTTTTTTATGTTAATCTTAAGATATCCACTCCATCTTTTCAGATTCGCTTATTTCCAACTTTACGTCCATAAAATGTCCGTCTATTGTATCGAATTGAATTGAAGATTCAGGATCAATAATCTTTAAATCTTCCTCGTTGTTTTTGATCGCTTCTATTTTTTCTGTTATAATATGTGATCCTAAATCAGCGCGGATATTTTGAATCTCATCCAAAAATCTTTGATCGATATTAACAAAAAAGAAATCTTCCTTATCCATATGATAATGTTTGATGACCGTCAACGGCTTCGATTGATGATAAACCGCTTCAAAATCGTTTAAAATCTCCCTAGTTTTTGAAGAAGAAAGATCTAAATCGTTGAATTGATTACTTATTGGGTTATAAAGTGTTAAAGCATTTTCTTGGGTTGGTTTTAATATTTCAACGGTGTCGGTCACATCGATTAGCTTTCCGAATAAGTTTGGAATTGTTGGATCAATAAAAATGATGTTACATCTCTTCCGTGAATCAAAAATCTTTAAAATTGTGTAACTCGGACGATATTTATCGAAAATTTGAGCCATCTCATCGATTGTATTCGGCTTTAATTTTATTTTAACACTTTTATATCTATAATCGGAAAGGAAGCAAATCGTGAAATAAGGCGATTTTGTAGCATCGATCCCAATAAACCAAGCTTTTTTCGTTATTCGACTTAAACCTTGGATAATATCAGGATTATTTAAATCGAGAGAAATCGTTAAAAATTGTCCTGTATCGTCGATAATTTCAAGATACGCCGGATGTTTTCCTTTGGGATGATCCCGAATTAAATTGCAAAGTTGAGTGATTATTTTTCGGTCCGATAAATCCAAACAAATCGGTTGAAATCCATAATCGGGTGTATTTAAAAAAATGAAAGCCGAGTTTGCTTTTTTGATTGAATTTTTTGCGGTCGTGTTAGTGACATCGATCGTTGCCAACGAGAAGCTTTTATTAATAACCGAAGGATTGAAAACGTCAACTTAAATGTTATTTAAAATTCCCGCGCAAGGTATCGTTAATTGAACTCCTATTTTATCACGATTTGCAAGATCGAATAATCCTCCGTATACTAAACTCTTCGAAATATCGACGGTTAAATAGGTTTCATCTTCCGGGACGTAAATCGTTATTAAATTATTTAAAATTAATTTTGGGTTGAAATTAACGACGTCGATGGAATATTTTCGGGTCATTTTAACAAGCTCGTACACTACTTTGGGGTTTGCTATGTCAAGTTTTATTTCGAACGTTTCGTCTAAATCGGTGTTCAATTTTAGGTCGTATTCGTAAAGACTTTTTTGAAATTCTTTTGTGAAGTTTTGAAGGGTTATCATGGTTTGGTGGTGATACAAATCGAAAATTGCTGTGAATGTACCTAAAAAAAATGAGTAATATAATAGGTATTTATGTACCAAGTCAGTAAAGTGCATTTTTATCGAACGCAACATTTAAAGATATGAAGAAATTTTATCAGAAATTGTTTCACATTAAATTTATTTAGAATATGATTTTGAAACATTTTATTTGAGGTTATCTTAATAATTGATGTTTGAATCAAAAAATTTTTCAAACAAATCTTATTTAGAATCGAGCCAGTAACAACTTTCATTAAAACATTTTTTTCGAATAATCGAAATTATAGAATCTTAAATTTCCCTGTGAATAGTACGGTGAAAAAAAAATTCAATTTTATCAAAAATTGTTTCAGATAAAATTTGTTTAGAATATGATTTATAATCGATTATTTTAATAAAAAATTTTGATATAATTACTAGATGGCGCTGTATACCGATATATATCATATATATAACATTTTTTTGAGGTTATCTTAATAATTAATATTTGAATCAAAAAATTTTTCAAACAAATCTTATTTAGAATCGAGCCGGTAACAACTTTTATTAAAACATTTTTTTCGAATAATCGAAATTATAGAATCTTAAATTTCCCTGTGAATAGTACGATGAAAAAAAAATTTAATTTTATCAAAAATTGTTTCAAATAAAATTTGTTTTGAATATGATTTATAATCGATTATTTTAATAAAAAAATTTAATATAGTTACTAGATGGCGCTGTATACCGATATATATCATTTATATAACATTTTTTTGAGGTTATCTTAACAATCAATGTTTGAATCAAAAAATGTTTCAAGCAAATCTTATTTAGAATTGAGCAGGTAACAACTTTCATTAAAACATTTTTTTCGAATAATCGAAATTACAAAATCTTAAATTTCCCTGTGAACAGTACGATGAAAAAAAATTATCAAAAATTGTTTCAGATAAAATTTGTTTAGAATATGATTTATAATCGATTATTTTAATACAAAATTTTGATATAATTACTAGATGGCGCTGTATACCGATATATATCATATATACAGGTGTATCTGAATGACGTGCCTAAACTTCAGGGGGTGATTCTTCAGGGGGAAAACCATTAACACCAAGAAAATGAAATTTGGGAAATATGTTTAGCTTATAATAGGGCATGTTTCGAACCTATTTGTACTTTCAATCTTCCCTTCTAAGTTACTAAACATAACCACCCCCGTTCAATTTTTGTCTAGATCTTTTTTATGACGATGNTGAAAAAAAAAATCAATTTTATCAAAAATTGTTTCAGATAAAATTTGTTTAGAATATGATTTATAATCGATTATTTTAATAAAAAATTTTGATATAATTATCAGATGGCGCTGTATACCGAAATATATCATATATATAACTTTTTTTTTTGAGGTAATCTTAACAATTAATGTTTGAATCAAAAAATTTTTCAAGCAAATCTTATTTAGAATCAAGCCAGTAACAACTTTCATTAAAACATTTTTTTCGAATAATCGAACCTATAGAATCTTAGATTTCCCTGTGAATAGTACGATGAAAAAAAAAATGAATTTTATCAAAAATTGGTTCAGATAAAATTTGTTTAGAATATGATTATTTATAATCGATTATTTTAATAAAAAATTTTGAAATGGTTATAGATGGCGCTGTATACCGATATATATCATACATATGTAACATTTTTTTGAGGTTATCTTAATAATTAATGTTTGAATCAAAAAATTTTTCAAACAAATCTTATTTAGAATCGAGCCAGTAACAACTTTTATTAAAACATTTTTTTCGAATAATCGAAATTATAGAATCTTAAATTTCCCTGTGAATAGTACGATAAAAAAAAACAATTTTATCAAAAATTGTTTCAGATAAAATTTGTTTAAAATATGATTTATAATCGATTATTTTAATAAAAAATTTTGATATGGTTACTAGATGGCGCTGTATACCGATATATATCATATATATAACATTTTTTTGAGGTTATCTTAATAATTATTGTTTGAATCAAAAAATTTTTCAAACAAATCTTATTTAGAATCGAGCCAGTAACAACTTTTATTAAAACATTTTTTTCGAATAATCGAAATTATAGAATCTTAAATTTCCCTGTGAATAGTACGATAAAAAAAAACAATTTTATCAAAAATTGTTTCAGATAAAATTTGTTTAGAATATGATTTATAATCGATTATTTTAATAAAAAATTTTGATACGATTACTAGATGGCGCTGTATACCGATATATATCATATATATAACATTTTTTTGATGTTATTTTAATAATTATTGTTTGAAACAAAAAATTTTTCAAACAAATCTTGTTTAGAATTGAACCAGTAACAACTTTCATTAAAACATTTTTTTCGAATACTCGAAATTAAAGAGTCTTAAATTTCCCTGTGAATAGTACGATGAAAAAAAAAATTCAATTTTATTAAAAATTGTTTCAGATAAAATCTGTTTAGAATATGATTTATAATCGATTATTTTAATAAAAAAAATTGATACGGTTACAAAATGGCGCTGTGTACCGATATATATCATATATATAACATTTTTTTGAGGTTATCTTAACAATTAATGTTTGAATCAAAAAATTTTTCAAACAAATCTTATTTAGAATCGAGCCAGTAACAACTTTCATTAAAACATTTTTTTCGAATAATCGAAATTATAGAATCTTAAATTTCCCTGTGAACAGTACGATGAAAAAAAATTCAATTTTATCAAAAATTGTTTCAGATAAAATTTGTTTAGAGTATGATTTATAATCGATTATTTTAATAAAAAAATTTGATATGATTACTAGATGGCGCTGTATAGTGATATATATCATATATATAGCATTTTTTTGAGGTTATCTTAATAATTAATGTTTGAATCAAAAAAAATTTCAAACAAATCTTATTTAGAATCGAGCCAGTAACAACTTTTATTAAAACATTTTTTTCGAATAATCGAAATTATAGAATCTTAAATTTCCCTGTGAATAGTACGATGAAAAAAAAATTCAATTTTATCAAAAATTGTTTCAGATAAAATTTGTTTAGAATATGATTTATAATCGATTATTTTAATAAAAAATTTTGATATGGTTACTAGATGGCGCTGTATACCGATATATATCATATATATAACATTTTTTTGAGGTTATCTTAATAATTATTGTTTGAATCAAAAAATTTTTCAAACAAATCTTATTTAGAATCGAGCCAGTAACAACTTTTATTAAAACATTTTTTTCGAATAATCGAAATTATAGAATCTTAGATTTCCCTGTGAATAGTACGGTGAAAAAGAAATCAATTTTATCAAAAATTGTTTCAGATAAAATTTGTTTTGAATATGATTTATAATCGATTATTTTAATAAAAATTTTTAATATAGTTACTAGATGGCGCTGTATACCGATATATATCATATATATAACATTCTTTTGAGGTTATCTTAACAATTAATGTTTGAATCAAAAAAATTTTCTAGCAAATCTTATTTAGAATCGAGCATGTAACAACTTTCATTAAAACATTTTTTTCGAATAATCAAAACTATAGAATCTTAAATTTCCCTGTGAATAGTACGATGAAAAAAAAATTCTATTTTATCAAAAATTGATTCAAATAAAATTTGTTTAGAATATGATTTAGAATCGATTATTTTAATAAAAAATTTTGATATGATTACTAGATGGCGCTGTATACAGATATATATCATATATATAACATTTTTTTGAGGTTATCTTAACAATTAATGTTTGAATCAAAAAAATTTTCAAGCAAATCTTATTTAGAATCGAGCAAGTAACAACTTTCATTAAAACATTTTTTTCGAATAATCGAAATTATAGAATCTTAAATTTCCCTGTGAATAGTACGATGAAAAAAAATTCAATTTTATCAAAAATTGTTTCAGATAAAATTTGTTTAGAATATGATTTATAATCGATTATTTTAATAAAAAATTTTGATATGGTTACTAGATGGCGCTGTATACCGATATATATCATATATATAACATTTTTTTGAGATTATCTTAATAGATAATGTTTGAATCAAAAAATTTTTCGAACAAATCTTATTTGGAATCGAGCCAGTAACAACTTTCATTGAAACATTTTTTTCGAATAATCGAAATTATAGAATCTTAAATTTCCCTGTGAATAGTACGGTGAAAAAAAATCTATTTTATGAAAAATTGTTTCAAATAAAATTTGTTTAGAATATGACCTATAATCGATTATTTTAATAAAAAAATTTGATATGATTGCTAGATGGCGCTGTATACCGATATATATCATATATAAAACATTTTTTTGAGGTTATCTTAACAATTAATGTTTGAATCAAAAAATTTTTCAAGCAAATCTTATTTAGAATTGATCCAGTAATAGCTTTCATTAAAACATTTTTTTCGAATAATCGAAATTACAAAATCTTAAATTTCCCTGTGAACAGTACGATGAAAAAAAATTCAATTTTATCAAAAATTGTTTCAGATAGAATTTGTTTAAAATATGATTTATAATCGATTATTTTAATAAAAGAATTTGATATGTTTACTAGATCTCGCTGTATAGCGATATATATCATATATATAACATTTTTTTGAGGTTATCTTAACAATTAATGTTTGAATCAAAAAATTTTTCAAGCAAATTTTATTTAGAATCGAGCCAGTAACAGCTTTCATTAAAACATTTTTTTCGAATAATCGAAATTACAGAATCTTAAATTTCCCTGTGAATAGTACGATGAAAAAAAATTCAAGTTTATCAAAAATTCTTTCAGATAAAATTTGTTTAGAATATGATTTATAATCGATTATTTTAATAAAAAAATTTGATATGTTTACTAAATCTCGCTGTATAGCGATATATATCATATATATAACATTTTTTTGAGGTTATCTTAACAATTAATGTTTGAATCAAAAAATTTTTCAAACAAATCTTATTTAGAATCGAGCCAGTAACAACTTTCATTAAAACATTTTTTTCGAATAATCGAAATTATAGAATCTTAGATTTCCCTATGAATAGTACGGTGAAAAAAAAAACAATTTTATCAAAAATTGTTTCAGATAAAATTTGTTTTGAATATGATTTATAATCGATTATTTTAATAAAAAAAATTTAATATAGTTACTAGATGGCGCTGTATACCGATATATATCATATATATAACATTTTTTTGAGGTTATTTTAACAATTAATGTTTGAATCAAAAAATTTTTCAAGCAAATCTTGTTTAGAATCGAGCCAATAACAATTTTAATTAAAACATTTTTTTCGAATAATCGAAATTATAGAATCTTAAATTTCCCTGTGAATAGTATGGTGAAAGAAAAAATCAATTTTATCAAAAATTGTTTCAGATAAAATTTGTTTAGAATATTATTTATAATCGATTATTTTAATAAAAAATTTTGATATAATTACCAGATGGCGCTGTATACCGATATATGTACAGGGTGATTTATAACATACGGAGCAGACTAAAAGAGTAGGTACTGGATGTAAAACTGAAGAGATTTTCTTAATAATGTTTTGTTAAAAACTTAATAGTTACATAGATATCGCATGTTAATTTTTTAAATAATTTAACGTCCATTTTTGAGAACCGCTNGAATATGGTTCTCTGGTTTGGTATCCTTGTTATACTTCTCACCAGCTCATGCTCGAGAGAGTGCAGAAGAGGTACTTAAAATACTTACATTTTAACACAGTTGGTCAGTATCCGGAGCGAGGTGTTGACTACGTTGCGTTATTGGAAGAATTTAACTTTTCATCTTTGAGCAATCGTAGAGAAGATGCTAGTAGAAAATTTTTATCGAACATCGTCAATTGTACTGTCGACTCACCTTCACTTCTTGCTCGAATTGGATTCATTATACCCAGACGTGGTATCAGAAATAGCAACACATACCAAATGCCGATCGCTAGGACCAACGTTTTGATGCGGGCGCCTCTGACACATATGGCTCGGAACGGAGCAAATAATGAAGTTATCACTTAAACTATACAGGGTGATTCTCAACCTATACGCATAAACTGCGGGATTTATTCCTCAGGACAAATAATAACTAATAGATGAAAAAAAATGTAGTAACAGTTTTTTTAGTTTCATAGATATCCGATACATCGACGACATCTAGATAATGTGTTTCTTGGAAGATGGATAGGTCGTGATGGTCCAATGCCCTGGCCACAGTGATCATCCGGCCTCAATCCTCTTGATTTATACCTTTCGGGTCACTTAAAGTGCATAGTGTACGCCACGGAAGTTAATACTCAGCAAATATTGCAAAATCAGATACATGCTGCTGCCCAAACAATCCACCAACACCCTGGTTTAGGCCGCGCTAGTACGAGATCTTGGATTCGGGGAGCCCAATTGATGTTTTCCTTTGGGATGATCCCGAATTAAATTGCAAAGTTGAGTGATTATTTTTCGGTCCGATAAATCCAAACAAATCGGTTGAAATCCATAATCGGGTGTATTTAAAAAAATTAAAGCCGAGTTTGCTTTTTTGATTGAATTTTTTGCGATCGTTTTAGTGACATCGATCGTTGCCAACGAGAAGCTTTTATTAATAACCGAAGGATTGAAAACGTCAACTTAAATGTTATTTAAAATTCCCGCGCAAGGTATCGTTAATTGAACTCCTATTTTATCACGATTTGCAAGATCGAATAATCCTCCGTATACTAAACTCTTCGAAATATCGACGGTTAAATAGGTTTCATCTTCCGGGACGTAAATCGTTATTAAATTATTTAAAATTAATTTTGGGTTGAAATTAACGACGTCGATAGAATATTTTCGGGTCATCTTAACAAGCTCGTACACTACTTTGGGGTTTGCCATGTCAAGTTTTATTTCGAACGTTTCGTCTAAATCGGTGTTCAATTTTAGGTCGTATTCGTAAAGACTTTTTTGAAATTCTTTTGTGAAGTTTTGAAGGGTTATCATGGTTTGGTGGTGATACAAATCGAAAATTGCTGTGAATGTACCTAAAAAAAATGAGTAATATAATAGGTATTTATGTACCAAGTCAGTAAAGTGCATTTTTATCGAACGCAACATTTAAAGATATGAAGAAATTTTATCAGAAATTGTTTCACATTAAATTTATTTAGAATATGATTTTGAAACATTTTATTTGAGGTTATCTTAATAATTGATGTTTGAATCAAAAAATTTTTCAAACAAATCTTATTTAGAATCGAGCCAGTAACAACTTTCATTAAAACATTTTTTTCGAATAATCGAAATTATAGAATCTTAAATTTCCCTGTGAATAGTACGGTGAAAAAAGAAATGAATTTTATCAAAAATTGTTTCAGATAAAATTTGTTTAGAATATGATTTATAATCGATTATTTTAATAAAAAATTTTGATATGGTTACTAGATGGCGCTGTATACCGATATATATCATATATATAACATTTTTTTGAGGTTATCTTAATAATTATTGTTTGAATCAAAAAATTTTTCAAACAAATCTTATTTAGAATCGAGCCAGTAACAACTTTCATTAAAACATTTTTTTCGAATAATCGAAATTATAGAATCTTAAATTTCCCTATGAATAGTACGGTAAAAAAAAATTCAATTTTATCAAAAAATGTTTCACATAAAATTTGTTTAGAATATGATTTATAATCGATTATTTTAATAAAAAATTTTGATATGATTACCAGATGGCGCTGTATACCGATATATATCACATATATAACATTTTTTTGAGGTTATCTTAACAATTAATGTTTGAATCAAAAATTTTTTCAAACAAATCTTATTTAGAATCGAGTCAGGGACTACTTTCATTAAAACAGGTTTTTCGAATAATTAAAACTATAGAATCTTAGATTTCCCTGTGAATAGTACGGTGAAAAAAAAATCAATTTTATCAAAAATTGTTTCAGATAAAATTTGTTTAGAATCGATTATTTTAATAAAAAATTTTGATATAATTACCAGATGGTGCTGTATACCGATATATATCATATATATAACATTTTTTTGAGGTTATCTTAACAATTAATGTTTGAATCAAAAAATTTTTCAAACAAATCTTATTTAGAATCGAGCAAGTAACAACTTTCATTAAAACATTTTTTTCGAATAATCGAAATTATAGAATCTTAAATTTCCCTGTGAACAGTACGATGAAAAAAAATTCAATTTTATCAAAAATTGTTTCAGATAAAATTTGTTTAGAATATGATTTATAATCGATTATTTTAATAAAAAATTTTGNAATTTTTTTTTAATGTATTTACCCTCGGCATAAAAAAATTTTAGCAAAAATGTAAAGGGGGTGGTTACGTTTAGTAGTTTAGAAGGATAGGTTGAAAGTACAAATAGGGTGAAAACGTGCCCTACTACCAGTTAAACATATTCCCCAAATTTCGTTGTATTAGCATTTATGGTTTTTGAGAAAAAAAAATTAAACCAAAATATTCCGCCATTTTTGGAGGGGTGTAACTCCTTAGAGGAGCCCAAGTCGCCCATGGTTTATATATCAAAGTACCCTTAAAATTGCCTAAAGAATCACCCCCTGAAGTTTGGGCATGTCATTCAGATACAGCCTGTATATCATATATATAACATTTCTTTGAGGTTATCTTAACAATTAATGTTTGATTCAAAAATTTTTTCAAACAAATCTTATTTAGAATTGAGCCAGTAACAACTTTCGTTAAAACATATTTTTTGAATAATCGAAATTATAGAATCTTAAATTTCCCTGTGAATAGTACGATGAAAAAAAAATTCAATTTTATCAAAAATTGTTTCAGATAAAATTTGTTTAGAATATGATTTATAATCAATTATTTTAATAAAAAAAATTGATATAATTACTAGATGGCGCTGTATACCGAAATATATCATATATATAACATTTCTTTGAGGTTATCTTAATAATTATTGTTTGAATTAAAAAAATTTTCAAACAAATCCTATTTAGAATCGAGCCAGTAACAACTTTAATTAAAACATTTTTTTCGAATAATCGAAATTATAGAATCTTAAATTTCCCTGTGAATAGTACGATAAAAAAGAAATTAAATTTTATCAAAAATTGTTTCAGATAAAATTTGTTTAGAATATGATTTATAATCGATTATTTTAATAAAAATTTTTGATATAATTACCAGATGGCGCGGTATACCGATATATATCATATATATAACTTTTTTTTTGAGGTTATCTTAACAATTAATGTTTGAATCAAAAAATTTTTCAAGCAAATTTTATTTAGAATCGAGCCAGTAACAGCTTTCATTAAAACATTTTTTTCGAATAATCGAAATTACAGAATCTTAAATTTCCCTGTGAATAGTACGATGAAAAAAAATTCAAGTTTATCAAAAATTCTTTCAGATAAAATTTGTTTAGAATATGATTTATAATCGATTATTTTAATAAAAAAATTTGATATGTTTACTAAATCTCGCTGTATAGCGATATATATCATATATATAAAATTTTTTTGAGGTTATCTTAATAATTAATGTTTAAATCAAAAAATTTTTCAAGCAAATCTTATTTAGAATCGAGCTGGTAACAACTTTTATTAAAATATTTTTTTCGAATAATCGAAATTATAGAATCTTAGATTTCCCTGTGAATAGTACAGTGAAAAAAAAAATTCAATTTTATCACAAATTGTTTCAAATAAAATTTGTTTAATGTCATCGTTGCAAGTATGCAACCCAATATGCAAATCGCGTATTGTAATACCAATACTGCGATATTGGTTGCATAATTAACACAATGACGATAAAAAAATTAATTTTTACCTGTATATGGTGAAAATAACTCAACGGTAACCGGTTCAGTTTTATTAACCAACGTTTTAGTTTGTGCGCAACCGGCTAACGATTTCGCCATCATTTTTTCCTTTTTTTTGATGGGGTTAATTAATTTTTTTGTAACCCCCGTTATCGATTCTTCTTTTAAACTCTTCAAATTTCTTATTGTCGTGGGATTTTTCAAATCTAATTGGAACGTGGTTGACGAATTAATTTTTACATCGAATAAATCGCAAGGATCCGCACGTTGCAAGGCCCATTCTTCCATCATTTTCAATTTTTTTAACACGTCCGTGTTGTTTATATCTAACGAGCAACAAATGTTTCGCCCCAAACGATCTATATAAACAAAACTGTAAATTTCTTTTTTATCTTGACGCGATTTTACGGTTGGTGCGTATCCGGTCGATTCCAACATTGCCTTTGATAACATTTCTAACGTTTTTGGATCCCATTTATTAAATTTTAATGATATCTCTTTTCCGTTTTCTAACTCAAATTTCATTTCGGCTAATGACTCGCTTTCTTCGCTGATTCCACAAGATGATTCTTTACTAAATGTTTCTAATGATAACATTATATCGGAATTTTTTGTATCGATTGTTATCCCGTAAGAATTTCCGTTAACGGAGTTGTACCATTGCGAAACAAACCAAGGGTTATTGTTATGTTTTAATGAATTATTTTCACTATTTGTTGGTGAACTGAAAGAAAAATCTAATGGAAGGATTGACTCAGTTTCGATATTTCTTGATTTTCTTCCAATATCATCTGTCATCGTTTGTTGTACGACGGCAACACAAGATCTTGCAGGGACGACGACATCCGTGAAAGTTATGTTTTTTCGCGCTTTCCTATTTTCAACTAACCATTTATAACGTTCTTGGAAATTATTTTCGAGCTTCCTCGACACTTCTAAGCTTATCGTTTCAACTGAGGCATCTCGAGTGGGGCTTTTTCCGGATGATATCCTCTTTAATTGAGAGCTATTTATATAAACAGGTGTTGTACTGTTTGGTGTTAAATCCAAAGAAAAAACGGTGCGGAGAACACTTAAAAAAATCGATGTTGGAAATGATATTGATTGCGTTAAACCCATTATGATCTTTTTTTATTTTTTTACACTTTAAATAACATTTTTATTATTATTATTAATTTTGATGTTTTTTAATTTTTCTAAATTGACGTTTAAAACAAATAATTTGACGTTTAATGCTTATATACAGTGTGTTAATTAATTATCGTACCCGACGTCATCATTGCAAGTATGCAACCAATATCACAGTATTGGTATGTCAATACGCAAATCGTTGTGATATTAATTAACACAGTGTATATTTGTAAGAATCTGAGAGGACTGCTACATCCTGGAAACTAGAATCATTCGGGTTCGTCCTCCAGCCATCTTTTATGAGGTTTATCTAGGTCGAATATCCGGCCATTATGGTTATAATTTCTGAATATTTTAATTAACAATTGGCGATATTTCCACAAGGATGCTTCAAGAAATGAATTTTATGGCGAATTTTGAAAATTATCGATGAAAATTGCAATATCGAAAATTCTATCAAAACTTCAAATATTGTTTTCTCAAAAACTAAAAGTTATTTTTCAAAACGGGTTGGTTCATTGGAAAGAGGACACTTTTATTAATAAATGGTGATATTTCCATAAGGATCCTTCAAGAAATTAATTTTATAGCGAATTTTGAAAATTATCGATTACATCGAAAATTGTATCAAAACTTCAAATATTGTTTTCTCAAAAACTAAAAGTTATTTTTCAAAACGGGTTGGTTCATTGGAAAGAGGACACTTTTATTAATAAATGGTGATATTTCCATAAGGATCCTTCAAGAAATTAATTTTATAGCGAATTTTGAA